AGATCACGTTTTTTTGGCCATCGTGCCGATTGCTCCCCCCCCCTTTCCTCTCCCAAGGTAAATTGGAAGAAGAACCCTGAAAATTGCTGGACTTGGCTGTCACCCTCTCATTATCGGATGTAATCAGATACCAGACACACGGGGCCTGGGCGCAGCTTTCCTGGACCAGTGCGGCAGCAATATTTAATCATCGGTTTAGGGCCATCTGCAACTGTTCTGCTGCGCTGTATAAAGGTTTATGGACTCCCGAGGTCTTGGCAAGCCAACAGGTGCGGCGACGGCACATGGCGCCTCCTCTCCCTTCCGATCGACGCCTTGTGCCAAGCTGAAAGGCATATTGCCCAGGGCTGCCCAAGCCGCACCTGGCAGAGAGGGAGTGCCACCATTTGATTCAGCAGGGAATAAATGAAATGTTGAGGAGAGAGATATCCAGGAGAACTGAGTGGAAAAGCAATTACTCCAGCGGGCTAAGGGAATTGGGGGGGGGTGTGTGTCGGTTTCTACAGGAGGCCTGGCTGGCCCCATCTTTGCTTCCCAAAAGCAAAGACCTTTCTCTTTGAATGCCTTTTTTTTTGGGGGGGGGGTGTTGCTTTTGCTTGCCTTGATTTAGTGTGGCATTTGTTTGAGCCTTTTTAGCACTTATAGACTTCTTGTTTTAAGCTTTAAATATTGTCTTTTCATGATGTAGGCTGCCTTTGTATAACTCATTGTTTTTCTGCTTTAAATACTGCCTTTTAATGATGTAAGCCGCCTTGGGTCCTATTTTAAATGAATGAATGAATGAATGAATGAATGAATGAATGAATGAATGAATGAATGAATGAATGAATGAATGAATGAAGTACTTGCTGACTTAACCTTGAAAGGTCCAAAGAACTGCACAACTACCAAGTGTTCCTGTGCAGAGGCATCATGTTTTGGGAAGGACAGGTGCGCTAATACCTAGCGGTGAACAGGTACCGCCCTTCCTACCTACCTTGGGAAGCCTTCCCCTACAGCAGACCTGGACAAAGTGCAGCCCGAGGGACATCAAGACAATTTATAGCTTTTTGTCTAAAGTTGATCAGTTGCTTATCTTTAACATACCACGAAAAACCTCTTTAGTATTTGTGAAGATTAACCAGTTTAAAATAAAAACAATCATAACAGCACTGTTTCATTTTATTTTTAAGTAAAGTTGGTTCGGCCCCTGAATACAGTTCAAATTTTTCATGTGCCCCCCCTATAGAAATTAATTGCCCACCCCTGCCCTATAGTGTGTGGCTGAGTTCAGACACACGCCACTGGAAGCATAGGTGAAAACACAATCAAATTTACAAAAAGAGAAATAAAAACATGGTGGCACCTTAAAGACTATCTTTTATAATTTTTTTAATCTGAGCTTTCATGGACAACATGGATAAAAAGTTAGTCTTTTAAGGTGCCACCATGTTTTTGCCTTTCTTTAACTTCTTGTTTTTATTGTGTTTTCACCTATAACGCTTGCACAGACTGGCACATGGCTTACCCCTTCCTACAAATGCCATTGGAAAGGAAGACGTCTCCTCTGCAGGAGGCTCATCGGAGATAACCTCTGTCTTGCAATTCCGGCGCAGGTTCTCACGGTGCCACAACCACTCAGCCTGAAACTAGGAATGTGACACGAAGGTGCCTTCCCTTGAGTTTGGTTGCTGGCAACGTCAATATAGCCACACACGGGGCTGGTCCGTTACCTACACTTACTGCAAACAAGATCATCTTACACCATTGATTACGGTGCAGGCAGAGCACCGGGTCCCTCGTTAACCCAGCAGTGCATGCAAATGAACTGCCATCTTCTTCCATAACTCACCCAAGTGAAAATGATCCCAGAAAAGTGCAACGCCAGCACATTAACTCACGCCGAGAGCCAAAAAAAGGGGAAAATATGACAGACACACAGTCCCAGACCACTGCTCAAACAAACTGCCCAGCAGCGGCCTGACCACAGAGATGGGCCAGCCTTACAGAGCTGCAGCTTGAGTCTTAAGGCTCTGCATGGACTCGGCTTTGCAGCCACTCAGCGCAAGCAACCTCCAGAGGACACACACACCACCCTTCGGCCTTAGAAGGCCACAACTGGGCACCCAGTTTTTCTTAAGATCCCTCCCTGCAATGTTTTCTTAAAAGAATGTGAAGGGTGGGAAGTTTAACTGAAAAAGGCTCCCTTGTGCCCTCTAGTGGCCGTGTTTTTTATATTAACCCCCCCCCCCCAAAATCTGGGGAGCCACCAAAGCATGGCAAAATGACCCAGCTCCTGCCAACCTAGCCGTTTGAAAGCATATAAAAATGCGAGTGGATAAATAGGTACCACCTCGGTGGGAAGGTCCCGGCGTTCCGTGTCTAGTCGCGCTAGCCACGTGACCACGGAAACTGTCTTCAGACAAACGCTGGCTCTACAGTTTGGAGACGGGGATGAGCACCGCGCCCTCCAGTCGGACACAACTGGACCCAACGTCAAGGGGAACCTTTACCTTACCTAAAATCTGGGGAGCCACCAAAGCATGGCAAAATGACCCATCCATGTCCTGGAGGCAAAGGGAACATGATGAGCCAACCTATCCTATACAGAAAGGATCCTTTGTTTTGCACAAAGCAGAGGTTAACAAGTTATCTGCATTGAGCCACCTCCAGAGGAGACCTATTCAGTATCAGGAAAGTGGGGGGGGGAGGCTTCCCAGGGTAAGAAATACAACCTTCCTTTCCCCCCTGATGAAACCATTCCACTGAATGCTGCAGAAGGTGCAGAACAGAGAACCTTAGGAAGGAAAAAGGAAGGAAATTTGTAACTTCTGTCACTGAGTAATACCCAGAATGTGCTTTGGAAATAAGAAAATAAATAAAAATCTTCCCTCCATCCCTGCCAAATCTAACTTGCAAAAACCTCATCCGAATGAAAAAAAGGGGGGAGGGGGCAGCAAAGATTTGATATATTCCTGGATAGATTTAAACCCTCCCCACCCACCACCCACCCCCAGCAACTTTCACTGCAGGAGCCTTTCATTTCTAAAACCAGGAGACGGGGAAAAATATGAGCAAAATCAATCTTCTTTTTCCAGACGAGCTGCTGAAACAAGCAAGCCCGATGAAATACAGCGCGGCATTACATTTTATAATGTCTTGCATGGCACATGCAAATTGCATCAAAAATACTTAGAATTAAATAAAAGGGTCATAAATAACAGCAAACCACAAGAAAACCGAGGAAATAAAGACAGGAGAAAAATGAATGTTTTCACTTGGGATTAGAAGGAAGATGAAGAGTTGGCATAAAGTACAGAAAATACATGAACCGGAGTTGGGGCACGTGCAGAGAACAGAGGGTGGGGGGGAGGAAGGAAGGAAGGAAGGAAGGAGGGGGTCACCTCAAGACTGCAGAGAGCTTGACGTAAGATAAAAGCAGGAAGGGGCTTTCTTCCACCTCAAGAGGGATCGCACTCAGCAGATTCCACCATCACCCCTTTTTGATTTATGGCTGGTGATCCATTTCCTACCCTACGACATGCAGGTGATCTCTCAGGAGCTTCCTCAGAGCGCCCAAAGGTTTATAATTAAAATTTAATGGGAGAAGGGGAAACGCCATTTAGCGCCTGAAATTAAAACACCAGATCTGCTTTAGACACTTTAGCAAAAACTTCAGATTTCAGAGCCAAAGAGGGAATGTTTAAAAGAGAATCCTCCACCACCGGTTGAACCCTTTCCCATCTCAGACTCAAGCTGCCCTCCTCCCTTCCCGAAATGCAGGGACTTCCATGTTTCTCCCCCCCCCCCGTCTCTGCTGGGGGACGGAAGCCTCTGGACAGGCACAACTGGAATCCAAGCAACGACCCGGTTGCAGACAGAAGAAGCTTCCATCCAAAGGCCTTCCCAACTTCCAAGACGCCACGGAAATCAATCTAGCCGAACTCCCTTAAATGAGAATGTCCCCCTGTAACGACGCTGGCTAAAGCTTCCGCTGCTTTTTGGGCTTCCTACTGAGCGCTGCTCAGCTTTTGCAAACTCAAGCCTGTGGCTTCCTTGAGGAGGCAGCTCATCTCGTATTTGGCCCTTCCTCTTTGCCTGTTGCCTTCCACCTTTCCCAGTATTGTTATCTTTTCCAGAGAATCTCGCTTTCTCAAGATGCGTCCAAAGTAGAACAGCCTAATTTTCAACATTTTTTTTCTTCCAGAGAACTTTGGGGTTTGATTTGATCTAGGAACCACTCGTTTGTCTTTCTGGCAGTCCGGAGAATCCACAAAGCTCTCCTCCAGCACCACAGTTCAAAGGAACCGTTCTTTCTCCCAGTCAACTTTCTTAACTGTACAGCTTTCACATTTTCTACATGGTGACTGGAAATCCAAGATTGTGGATGATCTTGGTCTTGGTCTCCGGTGATGTCACTTTACACCTGATGACCTTTTCCAGTTCCTTCATCACTGCCTTCAGAGTCTCAGTCTTCCGGTTCCTTGGCTGCAGTTTCCATTTGGATTGATGACTGAACCAAAGTGTACATAATCTCTATTTCAATTTTTTCATTGTCAACATTAAATTTGTTTAGTTCTTCCGTAGTGATGATTTTTGTCCTCCTAACATTCAACTGCAGTCCTGCTTTGATACTTCCTTTTTTCACTTTCACTAAAAGTTGTTTCAAGTCATTGCTGCTCTTTGCCAGTAAGATGATGTCATCTGCATATCTGAAAATTACTGATGTTTTTTCCACCCATTTCCACTCCTCCTTTCTCTGAATCTAGTCCAGCTTTCTGTATGATATGTTCTGCATACAGATTGAACAAATAAGGGCATAAAATGGACCCTTGTCTGACTCCTTTGCCTAGAGGGAACCCTTCTGTCTCTCCAGATGTTGTCCTCATGGTAGCTTCTTGTGTGCAAGACAGGTTATGCATCAGGACTAGAGATGGGGGTATTAGTATTCGTATACGAATATCCCCCCACAGGTGGAAATAAGGAGGGTTCGGCCCCATGGAGCCGGACTGTCCACTCACCATTCCGCCGCTCACGAGTGCTGCATTGCAGAGAACAGCACAATAAGAAGGTTCTGTCAAGTGTACGTAAATGGCAGAATGGTGAGTGGACAGTCTGGCCCCATGGGGTCAGATCCTCGTTATTTCCACCTGTGGGAGGAAATACGTATTATTATATGAATATGAATACCCCCATCTCTAATCAGGACAATCAAGGGCAAACCCATTTCCTTCAGAACAACCCACAGCTTCTCATGATCTACACTAAGACTTTGTTGTAGCCTACAACGCACAGTTGTAGCTATGGTTTTTCCTGTCGTGATGTATGGAAGTGAGAGCTGGACCATAAAGAAAGCAGACCGCCGAAGAATTGATGCCTTTGAATTGTGGTGCTGGAGGAGGCTCTTGAGAGTTCCCTTGACTGCAAGGAGAACAAACCTATCCATTCTAAAGGAAATCAACCCTGAGTGCTCACTGGAAGGACAGATCCTAAAGCTGAGGCTCCAATCCTTTGGCCATCTCATGAGAAGAGAAGACTCCTTGGAAAAAACCTTGATGTTAGGAAAGTGCAACGGCAAGAGGAGAAAGGGACGACCGAGGATGAGATGGCTGGACAGTGTCTGCGAAGAAACCAACATGAATTTGACACAACTACGGGAGGCAGTGGAAGATAGGAGGGCCTGGCGTGCTCTGGTCCATGGAGTCACGAAGAGTTGGACACGACTAAACGACTAAACAACAACAACACAACACACAGACTGATTTTCTTCTGAAATTCCTTGGCTCAGTAGCCAGCACATATTTGCTTTACTGATGGAATTGCTATGTTCCTAGAAGGATATCACACATTTACACCATCAGTGCTATTTTTCAGCACAAATGTGGCAAAAGGTGGGGTTTGCTGTTATTATAGTCTCTCTGTCAGCAACACATTCTTTAATATGAAACTTCGATACAGAGTCTCTTGGAGACATCCAAGATCCAAGGATTGGCATCAGCTCGATTTGATCCTCACTAGATGCTCTAGCCTTCCCATTATTATGATCACACACAGTTATCAGGGTGCTAATTGCGATACTGATCACTTCTTGGTGTGTAGTAGAGTAAAATTGCGAACAAAGAGACTGTATCACATGAAAAAGGAAGGAAGACCACGTATTGACATCAGCAAGATTCGTGATCAAAGAAAAGTGGAGAAATTTGCCCAAGCACTTGAGGAAACCCTTCCAGGGTTGATGCAAATGCACCTGAATGATGGGAACATTTCAAGAATGCTGTCTATAACACCACCTTGTCCACCTTTGGCAAGAAGACCAAAAAGACGGACGACTGTTTCGAAGCCCTTTCGGAGGAGTTGATGCCAGCCATCGTGGATAAGAGGAGAGCTCTAGCAGCATACAAAGCCTGTCCTGGTGAGTACAACTTGCAAGCTCTAAGAGCTACTCATAGCTAAGTCTAACAGGCTGCCAGGAGATGTTCCAACGATTATTGGCTTCAGCTCTGCTCCCAGATACAGATAACAGCAGACACAGGTAACATCAAGGGAATGTATGACGGTATCAAGTAGGCTTTAGGTCCAATACAGAAGAAATCTGCTCCTTTGAAGTCTGCTACAGGCGTGATCATCCAGGACCAAGCACAGCAGATGGAACACTGGGTGCAGCACTACTCTGAGCTTTATTCCAGAGAGAATGTAGTAAACAAAGAGGCATTAAATAACACCGAGTGCCTGCCTATCTTGGAACAGTTGGACAGCGAACAAACTTTAGCAGAAATAAAAGCGGCCTTGGACTCCCTTGCCTCCAGCAAGGCACCTGGAAAGGATAACATCCCTGTTGAAGTGCTATAAAGGTACTGTATCATCTCCACTGAGCTGTATGAGATCTTCTGTCTTTGCTGGAGGGAAGGTGGAGTACCACAGGACATGAAGGATGCAAACATTATCACACTGTACAAGAACAAAGGAGACAGAGGCAACTGTAATAACTACCATGGCATCTCTCTTCTCAGCATTGTAGGGAAGCTGCTTGCCCGTATTGTGATGAAGAGGCTCAAAGTGCTTGCAGACAAGAGTTTATCCAGAATCAGTGTGGATTTCGAGCTAATAGATCCACCACTGACATGGTATTTTCCCTCAGACAGTTGCAGGAGAAATGTAAGGAACAATGACAGCCACTCTTCGTGGCCTTCATAGATCTCATAAAGGCCTTTGATCTGGTTAGCAGGGATGGCCTTTTTAAAATACTTCCCAAGACTGGATGTCCACCTCGACTCCTCAACATCATCAGGTCCTGTCATGAGGAAATGAAGGTCACTGTAGTTTTTGATGGCTCAACATCAGTTCCCTTTGACATCTAAAGTGGAGTGAAACAGGGCTGTGTCCTTGTGCCGACCCTGTTTGGGATCTTTTTGCTGTCATGCTGAAGCACGCCTTTGGAACTGCA